CCACGGCCCATATCGTCCCGGACGTTTCTGTGGCGTACGAAACGTATTGGCAAGGTGGCAAAAAATCGGCCAAACGAAATGGCGAAACAAACATAACGACGAACGAAAAATATGTTATAATTCATAAACAAATCATACAGCAGTCACATCGGTAATGAAGTGATTACGATTCCAAGTGCAGCACGTGCTGTACAGCGCAGAACGGCTATCTCCGTGTATGGATCATAATATTAAAATTTACTGTTTTGCACAAATGTATAGCGTCGTTTTTTTTCTACCCTATGAAAACTCATCAAATCCGTAGTAAGAGTTTGATTCATTTTTCAACACTCGATCTATGGGAAATGTATACAATGTTTATCGTGTCATTATGGATGGTGTAATGCATTTGCATTACGATATGTGGGACACACGATTACCCGATCATTATTATCCATATTATGTATTGAATTTCTCTTCCATCGTTAACAGTTAATTTTCATAATGCCATAAACGTATTATATAATTATTCGATAGAACGCGCGGTGTCAAGACACCCAACTTCTATTCAACATTTTTCGTGTTCAGCGTAAATTTCAACTCGCAAACGGTCGGGTCGAAAGCCTTTGGTGTACAACGCATTGATACGGTATGATATGGATATCATGTCGTGGCCCAAGTGCACGCGCAGTGACTTCGTAACGGAGTAGGGTTGGTCGTAACGCGGGTTCTGCGGTAATAGCTGGCCGCAACCGTCTTGCACATAATACGGTGTAAACGTGGACGCAGTGATCGCGTCAGTGAGCGGCGGCTGTTCCGACGCACAAAATTACAGACGAAAACACTCGGTCACCGGTTCCGCGGGAATCGAAAATAAACGTTCTGTGCACAAAGACACTTTTAGAAACCAATATCATTTCGACTCATCGGTTTGCTTCCGTTCGGTGCACCCGTATTCCGTGGTAGGCTACTGCGTACAGGATAAACTACGGTGTAATAATGGTGTATAATACCGCAGTAATAGCATCAGACGGTAGCGTCCGCGAACGTTCGCTCGCTCGCGGGAACACTGCCCCGGGGCACTTGTTCACCTCAATTAACCACTAATGTATTATTATTATTATTATTTTATTATTCAAAAGAGACGCGGCGAAAAAGAAACACGAAAAAACATAATACCGGGACACAAAAGTGACGACAACGAGAGCGACAATGAAATTAGGTTTTCCAAACACGGAATATGTAATTTTTCACGAGTCACACTCGGCGGCTTTCTACTCGATATATACATATTATACACGTGAACCGCGTACCGGGTGGATAAAAAAAAACGCAGCTCGCAGTTGTGCTGCACACGTATACATTGATAATAATAATAATAATCTCGAGACGGAAATAATATTACATTTTATCATAATAAATAATAATACGCACGTGTACGCGCGCGTTAAAGTCGCCGAGTCACACGCGCCGTACGCGATAACGCCATCCGTCGACCGACAGAAAACGTGTGTACGTTACATTATTGTAGTCAATCGATGACGATAATGTCGTGTTATTACATATTATTATTATCATCGTCAGATTACACGGCGTTACGTAGACTTCCGTGTGGTGAAAAACGAAGGCGAAACCGATTGTCGGTACAAATCGGACGTGGCGCGTAGAAAACCTGCAATGGTATTAGCGGTATGGCTGTATGTATACAGTTCATTAGCTGCTCCGTAATAATTTCGTGATGTATTTTACGCCACGTATCCAAGTCGTTTTCGTGGGAGAAAATCGAATCTTGTGCGAAAAAAATGAGAAATAAAAACGTAAACGATCGGAAGTACTGTGGCGTTCTACGTGATCGATAAATTTCGACGTAAATTCTAAGCGAAGCGTATTGGATTTCACAACCATATTTTCCCCTTTTTTCTGCAATCATACTTTTGAGACACCACGTCACAAGTTGATGTTAGATTAATTATAATTGAAGTTTGAGACACACAAAGTCTTACGAACCATAACTTTTTGATAATAAAAAACCGAAACAAATATTTACATTTTTCCGTGAACAAATATCGGTGCACATAGGTCAAATGTCCCACCAACGTTTATATATGTTTTGATAAAAGGAAAAATGTGATGTTGCATAGAACATCACATTTTTCCTTGAAATTATTGAAGTAAATGTGTTCAATACCAACTTTTGTCGTAATACATGTATAAATTATTGACCTTCTCTGGAAATTATTAATTTTTTTTGTGATACTAATTTATTATTCATCATCGCCTTAAAATTTAAACAAATGCTTTCTAACTAACAACCTCTGCACTAGTATTTTAACGGATAACTATATAATTTGCACGATGTTACCGTAGCTGTGTTATTATTGTGACTATAATCAAAACTTGAAGGACCCATTGTTTAGGTAATTGATTATTATTATGATAAATTTATGTAAATTAATACTAACTCAATATTTTAATACATATCTTAATACTAACGATCATACTTTTACAGATATACCAAAAAGGCCATTATACTTCTGAACCACATTATTTTCAATACATTTTGTTTTAACAATAACGACAATTAACCGATCGATTTTAATTTTTCAAATTCCAAATAGTGTGAACTCAATCTATAGTCAAATTAATAGAATATTTTTGTGAGTTTTAAGATACAACTTTAACAATATAAGAATTTACAAAGACAATTAGACAGATAAATCGTATTATTTTTCAAATCTGAAACATTATGTGATTTAGAAAATTGTCGGCAAAAAGTGACATATATTCAAATATTGTATTCGTTTATTGCACATAATAACAGATGGTGGTCCGCTCCTTAAAGAATATGTGGCTTAGATATTCTTCATACAGTACATAGTGATGAGTAATATCATATTATTTTATTCATAATACATATTACTGATATATATTCGTACATGACGTACCAATTAGGACTAATACGATTCCGCAACGCAATGATTGTTTAAGTTATTAGTATATATTAATACACCACCACCAGTATATTCGAATATAAAAATGAATCATTATTATATTTACATACAAATATAAAATTAAACTCGCATAATAGATGACGATGGAAAGTCGCATTTACGTCTGTATAAAAACGCGTGTTAATTAATCAAAGAAAAATCGTAATATTTATGACGTGTTCCATAGAAAGTGTCTTTGAACACAATAGTAAAATATACATTATACACAGGTCATTTCTTCTCCTCCTTCTCCCCGCATACTCTTCCCGGTGCACAATCATTTGTCAATAATTATATACCTTGTGAACCTCTCCAAGTACCGAGAGACGTTTATTCAACAAGTCACGCACGATAAATATCAAAACAAATTTAACGGAAATGAATTACAGTCGACACATTTTCTACAAAATATTGATTTACTTTTTGAAATTATGACAGAAAAAAATTCCGTTTCGAAATTAATTATTTACGGAGTTATGATGGTATCCTTTCCGTTGTACGTGTATCTTTATAGTGTTAACGTTTCTTTTGCAATACCCGGCCGGTCAAATATTATTGCCCGTAACAAAATGTATGCGTTTATAGTGCACAAGCCTCAGCGGTGAATTCCTTCGAAACGGTATTCAGCGATGTACAAAATGTTTATCAACGGGATGGTACATGCAAACATTTTGTAATTATTATATTGATTCATACCTACCTCAGTTTCTAAAAAAAAAAAATTGATTTTGCATAATTTCAATGATCGGACATGGGACCGGATTTAACTGTGCATCATTTAACGATTATAAATAACTTTTTGAATCCACCGATAAAATGCGGGAAAATGTATATTCTTATGTTGAAACAAATATAATATTTTTCGTAAACGATTTCAGTAATTGTTTTTCTAGTAACATTTCGATTTACACCCGATAAGTAGGAACCGGTGCGGTATTTTACTTACGGTTTCAAGCGCGTACGGTTTTTCTGCCGGACCGACAAACGTTTGTATTATTCGTTCTCTTTGCAGACGTGTGATAATTTTTTTTTTCAATAAAATTTAGAAGTATAATAATGCACAAGAGCGCGGCGCGTGTCGGTTGACGTTAAACGCCCATAGGTCAATCGCTCAACGATTTACGGTAGGCGTGCGGCCGCTGAAAACCCTACCGGTCTCCACACGGTTCATCTCAATAACGCACGTGCTTACCAAGATTTCAGAATAAATATCGTGACCATAATATGATAATTTGAGCGTTTTGACGCGGCACGAATCGAAATCACAAAACGGAATAGCTAATAATAATAATAATAATAATAGTACGATGACGGCGATCCGATGTTAAGCGTGAATCACGACTAATTATACACGTTATGGAACGTCCGTCGTTAATGATTAATACACCGTAATACATGCAAATTGTTTTTCACACGTGAGAAAATCATGTAGCACGTTACTCTAATTGTACGGATACTCGACACGTCGGGTTAAGACTTCAAGTCAAACGTACGGTAGCACCGCGAAGCACCGAATAATGTACCCGAAGCCATACAAATAATTTCACTGCATTGTATTGTGTGTATTTGTGTGTATGTGTGCGTGTGTATATAATATATATATATATATATATATATATATATTACGTGGTACCCGACGCGTTTCTCTTCGAAGATATTTCTTTTACAAAGTCAACTATCAAAATCGCACAATAAATTCATACCTCGTATGACATACAAAACGTATAGGCACCTGCTTTTATGTGAGATCGATCAACGCTCACTTATTCTATTGTTTTTGTCACAACAAAACAAATACTTTAACCGTGGGGTAGGTACACGTGGATCAGGAAAAACAAAAAAATCACACACCAAGTGTGTACAATGCATATTTGATAGTTTAATAATTGATTTTATTTCCGTTAAATTTGTATTTTATATTTACAATGAAACATACATTTTTGTTCAGATTTTGGCATGCAAGAAATTATTATTTGCGTTGAAAAAATTACGTCTTGTACAAAATTTTGTGAAAAAAAAAAACAATAATCATAATAGTATTACATCAATTATTAAATTAACTCTTAGAGTTTACAAGTAATAATCTAATTATTTTTGTGTTTGCAAAATCAGCCACGTTGGCCAAACACGAACCGGTAACTTTTTGTCAGATGTCTTTATCGTGGTAAATATTATAAGTTAACTTATTACGTTTATGAGTCTTTTTGTGCGACAACACTAATATGGCAAAAAGTTACTCGGCTTTCTAAGAGCGATGTAACCGAGTATTACGAGCGTATTCTCATTGCGATGGAGATCGATATAATTACAATATCGACTCGCAATAAGCAACATTCGTGCAATACAGATGTCGCTCGTTCATCCAACTTGCGTCTAACTGTCACGTGACACTATAATGGTACAACTAATAATATATATTTATGTATAAAAAAAAAAAGGATAAAAATTCTTAAATGATTAGTCGACGATATAAATAAAAACTTAACGGTCTAAATGGGAAAAAAAAGAAGGGACACGATGACGAACGGTTTGATTACGCGACGGTCTGGGCGGACGGTTGCATTTGCCCGTTGTAGGCCATTTGTTGAGCCTCCATGCTACGTCTATAGTAACCGCCGTTGGTGCTGGGAGCAGCTTGAGCCGCCGGCCACGCGCTGGCAACGTTGGGGGCGCTCCAGTTGTCAGCGATCTTGCCGAAGCCACCGGACGTGCTGGCGTACTTCTGGAAGGCCATCACACCGGCGATGAGGAGGGCCAACTTGCCGAACAACAGAGCCTTGAGCGCGAAGAACCCGATGATTCCCAAAAGGATCGGCAGGACAGCGGCAATTTTGACGGCCAACAGTCCGAGGATGGGCAGCACCTTCTTCTTCAGTTTTCCACGGCCTAAAAACGATAAAAAATGATTAAAAAAAAAAAAAGTCAGTGATGATGTTGTGTTAGACACAGGGATCGATCGGAAAAGTGACGATGATAGAACTATCGGAACGTTTGAGTAAGGTTTAATATTTCATATTAGTGTACGCTGCTCACCTTCTTCGATGGCTCTGGACAGTTCTTCGGGGTTGGTCTGCGGGAACGTGAACTGGAAGGTCCTGGACTGGAGGAACCGGAGTGCGGAGTTGAAGACCATTTCGGTGACCTTGGACGTGTGGTCGGAACCGGTGGCGGGTTCGGCGAGCTGGCCGCGGAGCTCTTCCTCGGTGGGCAGGGACCGGGAGTCGCGGGTCCCTTCGTCCGCGGTGTTCTTCTTGATCAACAGACCCGGCAGGATGTTAACGTTGCCGTTCATGCGGGCCGCGCGTTCCAACGCGGTGGCCGTCTTGACGGCCACGCAGGCCACGGTGTCCTTGTCCCTGGCGCACTCGTCGGCGACGCGCGCGATCATGGCCCAGTTGCCCGGGACGGCGGTGGCGGATGACTCGTCGGACCGGGCGGCGCGCGACGAGTCCTCTTGCGTCACGTGGTTGCCGTCGTTGTGCGACGCGAGCACGGCGGCTTGCGAGCTGAACGTCAGCGCGGCCAACAGGAGCACGGTGCAGCAACACGCGAAACGCATTTTATTTTCGCGGGACGACGGGCGAACGGGGAAAACGAGAATTAAAAACTTTTACGAAAAGCACGAATATACCGGGCGCGCACCACTCGTGTATACTGCTGCGGTTCGGTGTTGACGTGCGTCGAGGTGGAATCACGGTGCGAGACGACTGTGTCGGTTGACGATGCGATCAGCGCGGACGAACGGTCGGTACGATAATGGGGCGAGACGAGCACCGCGGTCCCTATATATCGCCCCGCAGCGGATTTCGGCCCGGGTCCGCCCCACCAACGGAGCGATGGCGCGCGCGACCACCGCGCGACCACCGTGCCACCACCGTCGCCACCGGCGGAAAGGAGGGAAAAATTACGTAGGTATGCCGGTTAGACGTTTCCGAGGAGGAGTGCGCGCGAGGACCTCGCCCCGGCCGGCGTAGAAAGTGATTACACACACTCGTGTAGGTATGGGTCTGCGCGACCACGTCTACAATGTTAATGCGATGTACAAATATCCCGGCCCGTCCTCGGCCCGCGTTTCCGATCCTCACCGTCGATACAAAGAACGTGTTGGACCGTTCGGTGACTTCGAAACGATTAGCAAGTCAGCGACGCTCGCTAATAATCCCGCGGGACCGCATATTTGCAACCACGCGTAATCGGTACCTGATCGGAAAACGCTTTGATGGTTCCTTTAAATTATATTTTAAGCCACCGAGTTAAGTTCAACTTTTTCGAACACTTGACTTCGGAGTTAGTTGTGGAATATACGACTTTTAAAGCCGGTTTTTTTTTTTTACATCCTGTGTTTTCGTCGGTGTACGCATGTCCCGAAGAAACCGTCTTTCACGCGTGTATCAAGGTGTTCCTCTAACACTTGACGTAGCAGTATTTCGTTTTGAGAACTTTTCGGTTATAAAAATCGATCTAAAGATAATATTATTGATATTTAAAAAATCAATATCAACTCTTCGTTCGTTTTGTTCGTTTTTTTTTTTCATAACTGTTTCACCACCAATAACACTCATTATAATATTATATTATATCGTAGTAAATTGTTTTTTATTTTTTTATATTCCAATATAGTACAAAAATAATTTTAGCTTTTTGTTGTAATTATTTTTGCAATCGTTATAGTATTATAATCAAAGACTTCAATAAATCCATGAGTTTTTTTTTTGGCTTATTTTGATTTCGTGTGTATAAAGCCGTATTGTTTCGAGACCCAGCAAAATGCAAATGATAATTTTAGACGTTTTTTACACAATCAGTCTCGCACGTGGTTGGTATGACAATGTTGTTGGTGCCCTTATGCGATATTCATTGTTATTGTTTAAATAAATCGAATGCGGTCGTTTGGCTGTAGAAGCAGGTTTTCGTTTTTATTCGTTCGAAATGGTTTTGTAGTTTTCGCCATGCTCGTCACGGAAAAAACGTAAATAATACATTTAAAAATGGTGACTCACTATAATAACCGCGTGAATCAAATATTCCTTTAAAACTTATACGGCGAGTACTATATTATACACTCGAAATTAATTTTATTTCTTTCTGAGCGCGATTTATGACCTTTCTAATAATAACCTTTATTTTCTACCGAATAAAATAACAATTTTCAGTAGACATTTTCACCCTCGCTCACAAAATAATTTTAAATCGTCAACTGTTTTATAGTACTATGGTTCGTGTTGGGTCTCAATCGTTTAATTGTGTTTACTTAATAAAATTAAATAGGTTAGAAAGTCGATTTAAAATATTTTATCCAATACGACATTACAAAAATATTTAATGAAGAAAGTCATTACATTCAATGACAATGTAAAATGCAATATGTTATTCATAAAATTAATTTTTTTTAAATAACGCAGTCAGAGTTCTTCCATATAGATCATTATTACCAGGTTATTTTTTCTCCCGTGTAACATGTACACAACGTATAATGTATGAATTTTTTTTTCTATACACGTAATTAATGAATGGTTATTTACATAAATGTTCAATATTATACCACTATTTTAAGTTGAATTCTTATTATATTATATACGAAAACAATTAAGTACTTTGTTTGTGAACAATTCACGTGGATAAAACGTAATCCATAAGTGAAATCACTATTATGAAATTTCTATACCAAAAATATAGTATTATATTAGTTTTTTTCATACACGATGAACAGTGCTATATGAATTAACAATGTTTAAAAAATACCTAAGTATTTTCATCCTTATTCACATTTACAAGATAGGTATTTAGTTTTTTTTTATCATTTTCATAAGAATTGTAAAATAAAATGTATAGGTTAAAAGAATACAATCCAATCTTTAAGCAGTAATTTATTCCATTTAGAAATTACGTTTTATAACTGTCACCAAATATGCATAATTTTTCCGTAGTACAGTAACACTTGGTTCGGTACGAGTACAAATACCGATGTGTTCACATATACATTTAAATGTGTTTGGAGAATATAAAAGAAATTTAACAAGACTTTTGTTGAGCCCACATTCGAAAGTAGATGAGAGCACCATACTCGAAATTGATTATACATTAATCTCAATCGAGAGCCAACAATAATTGGCATACGTCAGCGAGGTGTTGTGGATATAATGACCTCATATTGAATATCGGTATTGATCTTGGCCTATGACCTCTTTATAATTAAATGAATCGCCGACCCTTTCATCCGCTGTACGATATTCTACCTGTCGGCCACGCACTATCCATCAATATCGTTCTATACATTTGAAACAAAATGCCAATCGATACGAGATTGTCATCAAGGTATATGTATATTTTTTTATGTAGTACTATTGCCGAAACAAAAATGACATGATATTATTATAACGTCCAGCGCGTAGAGGGAAAGTCTTGGGAAAATATTTACTGATGAGATCGATACGCTGAAAATTAAAATTGTCTCGTCTGATGTTCACGGATCATGACCGGAATCGTTAAGATATTTATATAACACGTGCGTTACGAACGGTCAACGATATAAACACACTCACACGTAGACACACACACACCTAGACTCGGTTCGAGTTTAAAATAATAATCGTACCGCAAATCCTGGTTTGGAAATTGTCTAACAAATAAATGCACCGAAACCTGAGAAATCCGATACGTTTAATATTATATTATATCCTTATTCTGCGTTTGTCTATTATATATTTTAGCAACAAAGGATATCATGTATAGTAAGATTTTTTTATAAACATATTCTAATACAGGGACGGCCAAACTTTTTTGTTCGCAATCTACTAATAATACACTTCATTTTTGAGAGTTTTATTGAGTATCTATAATTATTAAGAAACGTAACTGCATAGAGTGTATATTAACATGCATGAAGTTATATAAATTAATTACTTGAAGCTAATTAACATGTTACTTTGTTGATCTGTGCGTTATTGAATTGTTGCATTGCATTTCGTTGCCTAGGAATAAATGATAGATTTTTAAATCGTTTGCGATCGACCGTTTTACCACCCTTATTATATATATATCTCATCAGTTTTAAGTGCTTGCATATTTTATAGATTTTTCAATGCACACAATCACAGCTCTGATCATAAGGCCCGTTTCAAACTTACACGGCTCGATTCGGTTCGGCGCGTATTCAATTCATTTTCGGTAGCCTCCGAAAACGAGTACAAACTTTTCGCACTTATTCGGTTTCGTATTAAGTTTTATTTCACAACTGAATCCGGAATCATCGAACACGCAGTCGCCTAATAGAGAAAAATCTAATTGTTTACCATGTTGTTCCAGATGAATGAAAAAAATTAAAAGGGAATATTCAACTTAATCAATGGGTACTTTTTATTGAGTTATCCTTAACAAACGGATCGGTTTTGGTGTATTTTATACTATTCTTCCCGACTTAAGGAAGTACGAAGACTTAAATTTATCCTTGTGTTTGTTTCCACAGCCCTGCAAATGATTTGATTGATAAAATCAGACGATCAATGTTACAATTTTAAGTGAACCACTTGTGACAAACAACAAAATTGAAAAATTAAAATTAATAATTAAATAAAATTGTTGCTTGCCAAAAACGTAACCGAACCGAAACTAAACCGTAAATGTATGAACAACCAATTGCTTTTGCGAAACTTGGTATCCGAATAGAAATTGGATGAAAGCATTTTGTGTCGAGGGGGTTTTCGGTTCTATCAGGTCTCTATTAGGTACCGAACGCATGCCGGTTCACACTTATCGGAAGTGATCGAAAACGAATTGAATACAAAGATAGTAATCTTTGTGTTGTACATCATAAAATCTTTGGTCAGTTTCTAAGAGATATTCGAAACATTACTATTCATTCAAGTGATATGACTCTGTAAGAAAAATCTTAGGCATTATACGAAATGACGAACTTATTACCTATATAGAGATCGATGAGTCGTGCATATCATACGAGTATAGCCATGTATTTAACTGTCCGTATTACTAAACACTGAATCGGAGTGACGACGCGAGTTCTGTGAATAGTTCATATACATACATACACAGGAACATCTCGTAATAATGCTGTAGTATGATATTATCTAAAGTGTGGACGTTCCGAGAGAAATGCGGAGGACGAAGAAAACACGACGCGTGGTGTTCAAGGATTACTCACGCGCAGGTTTTCTCCGGGCCGGATTCCCTCGCGTCCACTAAATAAAGTAAGCGAGTGTGAGTGAATGTATCTATATAATATTATTCGGTTAGCAAGCTCGGAGAAATTACGTGATGTTTACGAACAACCTTGACCTTGTCTCCAAAACGCTACGGTTATGCTGTGTATGTTATTATAATCATCCGAATAGGTAATAAATAATGGCTGGATAATGGGACTACTCGTGCATTTCAGGATGGTTGGGATGTTTTTGAATGTTTTTTTTCTCCTTTTTTTCCCTCCCTCCAGTTCCGTTTCGGTGGACAAAACTTTTCGACGTCATACATTATATTTAATGCTGAGGATGAACGACTTATGGTACAATTTTTAGGTTCTTACCCCGTACACACACGGTATAATATCGTAACAGTATTGGGCTTTGCTTTATCTTCACTCATAAATAAAACGGTACGTTATAAATACGAACGATTATTTTCCTAGTACGAAATCTTCAAACGCAGCAGAATATTTAAATCGGAGGTCGGGTCGTATACACACACGCGCGCGCGCGCGCGCACACGTATTTGTCAGTCGCGAAATTATAACGTCGCCGCCGAGAAACAATGGGATTGG